GCTGCGAACACTTGAAGACGAATGCCCATGGGCTGCCTGTATTACTTCTGCAGTGGGTGGAGCTTTAAATAGCTCGCGGATAAAGGTTATCCGAAAGGCTACGCAAAGACTTATCAAAAGCTCGTGTAAATGAGATGGAATCACGTAGGGGTTCACAGAGGGACTCACAGTGCTGACCCAGGTCATGACACGGTACCTGCGGAGAAGTACATCAAATGAGACGGTATGCCAGAGGCTTTTATCGAAACTACATGTCGAAGCGATATTACAACTTATACATTATGAATGGATAGATTTAAGGTAGTTATAAGTAAATAGTTAATATAGGATACATGTGATATTGTAGAGAATAGGAACTATTTAAGGAATAACCACAACGTTGCTGAGATATTTGCAAAACTCTGGACCGCAGGTGTCCATGGTGGGGAACGAACGCGCTATTGTCCTTTCCGGGGATTAACGCGTTCATCACCACACCATACGGGTCCTTCGTTTCGCCTGTCTCTCAGCTATTTCTATCGATCTTTGCCACAGCAATCACCCGTCAGCGGGATTGATCTGGGGCGCCTAAATCGGCATAGAACCTAGTTAAGCTGCGGCTGTAGTTGAAATCACAATGTTATGCCTTTTTACTTTCTGCCTACTATAATTTCGCAGCAGGGTACTAAGCGAATTATTTAAGGAATAGTTACTATAGTTCCTCCACTAATGAATGCTCAGTCGTTGAACACTGAGCAACTTTGTAGAAGTTTCTCAATGATTGATCATCTTAACAGAGCCAAAATATCTTCAGAAGTGTTGATTATGGGCTAAAATATCGGGTGCATGATCTCATAAACTGCAATTGTCTGTCACGGAAAAATAAACTCGTGCAAAGAAGCTTTTTGTAAAATAGCAAATGAAGTACAACCATAGGGATGCTGAGACATGAGGAAAACTTGGGCACCAGGTAGGCTCATATCTCAGCAACCCTGTGTTTATATTTCACATCGTACCCTGCCATAGGCGCGTGTGGCGCGGTGATCGGAGGCGCCTTGCAACACACGTGGAATCGATCCTTGCGCCCACGGCCCACCAAGTTTACCATTCCTCCGGGGTCGACAAATTGGTACCAGACTTGTCTGGCAGGATAGCAACACTGGCTCGATACATCGGTAGGCCACCGGGAGTTATTGTGAAGGCCGGATATGCATTCAATCACCTCCAAACGACACTTAATGAAGTCGAATGACGCCGAAAGCTCTATCATTTATACCCTGTTATGAGAAAAGAACGGATGGAGAATAAACTTGGGACCATATAAAGAACATTCCTTGAGAAGTTCTCCACCTGTTTTTACGGCCAAGTATTTCGTACCGCTTGGATAATTGTCTCGGAGCAGCTATCGTATGTCACGGTATGATCCCACTAATCTATAATGTCAATTACGGTTAGCGATTCAGTCCGTTGACTTAAATCGCATGGCATCGATGTTAAAGTTGCAGAATACTCGCCTTCCATGCGGGCGACACGGGTCCGATTCTCGGCCACTGCAGCATAGGATTTCTCTTTGTGGTTGAACACAGGATGCATAATCTCACAAAGTCTCTCTTTGAGGTGCATCGCACAGGAATCGAACCCGAGTCGTTGGCGTGGCAGGCGATCATTCTACCACTTAACCACCGATGCCACATGATTTAAGGCAACTGCCTGAAACATTAGTGGTAATTGACATGGTAGATGATTGGGACCACATTGTGACAAGCGATAGTGGCTCTGAGACAGTTATCCAATCGATACGAAGTACATAGCTGTAAAGATAGATCGAGAACTTCTCACAAGGGAAGTTCTTTCTAGAACAGTGTTAAGTGAAGCTTTTCACGAATCACACATGACCTATTACTTTCGTCGGTCAAACTATTTATTGAGTACAAAAACTGTGGTAATAAAGATCTATGTAGCTCAAATAACCGCTGAGAAGAAAATGTAGAAGATACAATGCACTTGGTCCACTTTGCCCCGCCATGTGCAACAACATACAATGCATCTGGCTGGTTATGCACTAAATCTTAATATGTATGTATGCGGAAGAAAAAAAATGTTAAGGACGTAGAATAGCTAAGGCATGTCATTTCAGTGAAAAGTCCACGAACGAACCGGTACAAACAAAATTAGTTAGAAGTAGATGAAAGATGTTCACAACAAGCAGTACGGCGTCAACACGGGAACTGCACAGATAGGAAGGAGAGTATAGAGAATATTCACTGGATTTCGAAACCGACTTTCTCTAAACCTCGGTGTGACTAATCAATATGTATTCTTTCTTCGTATCAACCTCGTGCAAGCTTATCAAGAAAGAATACATATTGATTAGTCACACCGAGGTTTAGAAAAAGTCGGTTTCGAAATATTACTACGCTTTGTGCTAGCTGATAAAAACACCGACTTCTGCACGATGTGCGCAATGATGTATGCCCGGAAATACAAGTTGTTACCACCGGACATTATCATTATATATCCACCATCAGCATCGTGTATAAAAGGGCATCACTGAGTGAGGATGCCTCATTCGAGATTCGAGATTCATTGATGGCTCACTGAGGAAGACCTGGCTCGACACGAAGGCGAAGCTGCAACGTCGAGACGAACAACAAGCATGGACCATCGACTCGGATCATCGGCTCTGAGGAAGACGAAGACGTCGAAACGTTAGCCGAAAATAAATATTTATCAACCTCGTGCAAGCTTATCAAGAAAGAATACATATTCACTAGATTATTGAGAGTATCCTCTATACTCCCCCTCTCCTCATTGAGTTGATGGGTTTGAGAGCTACTTTTGAAGAGAATTTCACAACAGGGACATAGAGTACTATGAGAAATAAGTTCTATATTATAGAAATACGGTAAGAGCTACAGTCGAATATAAACGCGGGTGGCGTAATAGAGGGAATGAGTTCACCAATCAATAACAGTCATTCTATTATGCTCCTGAAGTGGGCGGGTACCGGATTGATCTGAGATCGATGTGATATATGATCTTACAATACCCATAGAGCATGCAGATGGCTAGAGATTCAGAGTGGCTGTGTGGCCCCGTTCATAGTGGTAGAAATATAACCATTATGATGCTGTGATATTTGCAAAACCTGGACCTCAAGCCAGATTCGAACCCATTACTGCCCTTTTCGGGGCTCAGCATTCCATAATAGATGAAATGTGACCGCAGTCCGACGTGTACACGGAAATGAGTAGTCTCATGGAACCACAGGGATTATTCGCTATGTTATAGGGAGTGCTTTCTACACTCAAATGGAGATTGTGTCACACAATTACAATTCTTCGTGAAGATGGGCCATTCAAGTACTCCAGTAGGATTCGCCTATATCAGATAACTCAGTGCACAATGCTCGTTGATTCTTTGTATTTTTGTTGAGCAAACGCGAGGTGTTATTTTTATTCTTTATTCACCAATAAGCTGGCGCTTCGGCGGATTTCGCCTTCCTTAGAGCCTGGAAGGTCAAGTTGATAGCAATCTACTCGGCCAGACACTTCTATAACCAAACAAAGAAATTCTGAACCAAGATTTCAATCACTTTGAACACAGCTTTGCACACTCACCGCTTCCTATGAGGTTTCCACTAAGTACGTCACGTAGAGACCAACCGCACAGAAATCACATGGAAGTATAATGTGCCCCTCACATCAGAAAAGCAGTTTTATATACTGCCCTATATCACGCGTGATAATGAGACATTCTTCCCTGCGGTTCATTTTCGGATTTCTGGAATTAATCCAGAAAGCCTCTAGAGTTTTGCGCGCTTGTGTTCTCGATTCTTGCGCGAGGATCGTAACCCTTACTTCAAAGTCTTCTCCGTTATGTCTCTGCATCCTATGCGTGCCTAGTGGAGTATTTGGCTTACGTTTGCCGACTACGTGTTCTTTTATACGGACACGGAGTGGTCTACCCGTTTCGCCAACGTAGTCGTCTCCGCACGCCTTACAAGAGATCAGATAGACTGTACCCGAACTCAAGCAGTCACCGTCTCTACCATTGGGGCAAATTATACAATTTCGCGTTGCACATAGACGGTTATATAGTCGGTTACGAACTAGCTGGCGTCTTAGATTACTTGGTGGTATTTCGATTATCGTTACCGAATTCTCTAGACTGGCCGTTCTTAAACAGCGTTTTATAGCTGCATTTACTTCATTTGAAATGAAGAGCGGTATAAACGGGACCTTGTTGTCGCTAGAATCATCGTTGGGGTGCCTGTGGTTTCCTCTACGCCTATCCCGAGCTACAGTTTCGTTGCCATTAAAAATGGCTATTTGTCGCACCAAGTTCAGGGACTCCTCTCTCTGCTGTCTTCCTGTGCACACGCTGGTAGCTGTTCGATACATGTTTCTCAAACTCTAGGGGCATTCTGGATTAATTCCAAGAATCCGAAAATGAACCGCAAGGAGGAATGCCTCATTATCACGCGTGGTATTGGACAGTATATAAACCTCTTATTCTGACGGCAGGGGCACATTACGCCTCCATGTGAATTCTACGCGGTCGGTCTTCACACGTCATACTCAATGGAAGACTCATAGAAAGTGGTGAGTGTGCAGAGCTATGCTAAATGTGATTGAAATCTTGGTTTGGCGTTTTCTCTGTTTGGTTATGGACGTGTTTGGCCAAATAGGTTGCTGTCAACTTGACCCTTCCAGGCTCTGAGGAAGACGAAATCCGCCGAAACGTCAGCTTGTACGTAAATAAAGAAATAAAATAGCATCTCGTGTTTGCTGAACGGAAGTAGAAAGAATTATTCAATCAATGCCGAGGGTAATAGAAAGTCGGACTTAGGAGTTAAAACTCACATTGTAAATATTTTATTCACACAGGTTGTGTAAAAATCATAAGTGTTTCATGCGAAGTACAGCTCTACTTATCTTTAAACACTTAAGAAAGGCTTAATATCTAATACACATGGGTAAATACATCGAAAAAAACAAATTCGCAAAAGTTCGATGTATTTATGCGGCTTTGTTGATACGCTCTTCTTGAGCATCCATCTCAGCACGAATCTCTGCAGGAAGATCTGGGCCGACCTGGAACTCTTCAGGTTTTCTATTGTCTTTTTCGTGCACCTATTTACTAAATCTTTCACCATTGTTATTTCGGTAGCATCGAATTATGTAGCACACCAACAACAGATTTATAGTACTAATTTTACCTGCTCCTCTAGGAATTTCCTAATTTCTTTTGCATCTTCAGCCCAGTAATCCTTTGGTACCGACATTAATTCGTCCCAGTTGATATTCTCCAAACCATCATGGTTGATAGAGCCCTAAAAAAGCGGTGTTTTTAAAAAAAAACTGCATAAAAGGACAAAGCTCTCGGAGTTCATCAATCCCCGAGGGATGCGCCATGCATTCGGCTTCATTAAGCACCGTTTGGAGGTGATTGAATGCATATCTGGCTTTTACAATGACTCGCGGTGGCCTACCGATGTATCGAGCCAGTGTTGCCATCCTCCCAGACAAGTCTGGTACCAATTTGCCGACCTCGGAGGGATGGAAGGCTTCGTGTGCAATGGGTGCGGAAACCGATTCAACGTGTGTGTTGCAGGGCGCCTCCGACCACTGCGCCACACGTGCCCTTGAAAATACTACATATATTTCAATAAACAAGAACTGCTTGGTACTAGCAAAATATTTTTCATTTCAACGAGAGGTGATATCAATAACGCGAATGGTTCAACCAGTTTTCAAACCAGGATATGTAGAATGACATACGAAAATTGAAAGCTGGTTTGTCGGGTGCATTTCATCTGGAGGAATAAATGGGTCGTAAAGTTCCTCTGTTCCATTCAGGGTAATCATGAACTGCTTAACGGAAATCTACACGTGTTTTAAATCGAAGGTTCTGCGAGGGCGAAATCTAATCCAGGTATTGTGGTTGAAGTAGATTCACCACTCAAACAACTACAATCGTCGTACGAACCACAAAAACAGAAGTCTTTTAGCATGTCGAGAAACAGCTAACCATTACACGTTCTGTTTGGTCGTTCTCGTTACTTCACATTTTATATTCTCACGAATGTTATTCAAGAGGAAATTGTCTTACCTTCTTCGGTACGATCCCAATGGGTGTTTCTATGCCAAGGTTGGGCTCACCGTCAAGGCGACGAATAATCCAGTCAATTACACGGATATTTTCACCGTAACCAGGCCAGAGGAACTTGTTGTTGGCATCACGACGGAACCAGTTCACGTGGTAAATGCGTGGCACCTAAACGAAGTCGCTCATTGATTCAAAGCCCAAAATTGACTTGAGAAAACTTCTACGCTTCATCGAAAGGCTTTTCTTGACCAGGAACTGTTTTGTAAAATGGAAAACAAAAACAAATGAATAATGAACGTTTGTTGATCATGATCTGTCCCATTTATTTTCATATTTTATTTGCACTTTGAGAATTCTTCCAGTGGTTCATCGCCTCACAGTGGCTGGAGTTGGGGATGTTCTTCGGTGTCAAATTGTGTTGTTCAGCGGGGACATCGTCTGCTTCGATATTCTGCCAAGATGAAGGTTCGATGTTGTCACGCGGAAAGTCACCTAAGAATAAACCAGTGCCAGGAATCATTGCAGTTTTTGAAACAACAGTGTCTCTAGATGGCAAGCGATGACAATTTGGAAAAGCCTTAACATGGTTTTTGAGATCCCAGAGAACGAAACTCTTGCCCATTCAGCAAGATAGCAATAAGATGGAAATTATGCTGTGCCATATAAGTTTCATCACCGTTCGCGAAGACAGCTCATTCAAGCATTAAGTAAAGCTAGAATTCGCAGAGTATTTCTTTAATATCTTCCTCACTCGCTCGATTAACTAATGACAGGAATCAGTGCCGCTTTGGAAGAATTTTAATCGTACGGTAACCAGCCTCCTTGTTATCCACGAAGATCTGCAACTGTTTGTTATCTCGAGACTATTCCGCAAATCACGCTGTATAAAGCATTGAGAAGGCCACTTAGAAGAGGTGACGAAAAATCCTCAACCTGCAACCGTTTCTACAAACGAACCTCAACATGGAAGGTGATTCAAAAACACCGCCATTCCAGGTATTTTACGACCTGCGGAATGGTCGACAGAACGAAAGTAAATCACATGTAATTACTTCTATCACTATCACCAGTATTTCAGGAAAAAATTCACAAATTCAGTAGCGATGTGTTTTATAGAAATTTTCAAGCATACTTCAAGCAGAGGAAGACACTACGCTAAGGCCTAAAAGAGTAATTAACCTTCCTTCCGCCCTTGTTGAGATCAATCCAATGTTGCAAATACTTGCCGAAGTTGTAACCCATAAATGGACGCATTGCCATCGGATCGTGCATCACAGTCTTACCTGAAATGCTAAAATCGAAAGGGCAAGGAAAACTATATCGAATACAGGCACGTTTAGTGCAGTAATTGCAGAGGCCCTACGACAGACAATACACAGCATTTGGGTTGAAATCATGCTCCGGGTGAACCAAATCTCCATCCCCTCGAGTTTATACTTGTTGCCAAAAGTTTCTGGGAGAGCTAAGAGTGTCACCTGATTCATCGAAAGGGTTCTTAAGTCGTTGTATAAGGTAAATTCACGTCCAGTTACCAGTAAGACGTTTAGTGGGGTTGAATTCATGGAACATCACTATGGCGTTAATCGATGTCAAACGTTTTATCTATGTTTTATGCTCTACCTTTAACCGTAAAACACAATGAGGATTCCACCTAGACCGCTAATATCCAAGGCCTTTAATAAATCATTAGTGGAGGGGTGCCTTCATTTTAACCATTACAAAGTATCGATAGAACATAAAGGATAAAAGGATAAAGCTCTCGGCGTTGATCAATCCCTGAGAGATGCGCCATGCATTCGGCTTCATTAAGTGTCGTTGGAGGTGAATGAATGCATATCTGGCCTTTACAATTACCTACGGTGGCCTAACGATGTGTCGAGCCAGTGTTGCTACCCTCCCGAACAAGTCTGGTACGAATTTGCCGACACCGGAGAGATGGAAGACTTGGTGTGCCATGGGCGCCGGGATCGATTCCACGTGTTGCGCAGTGGCGACTCTAACCAATGCGCCACACGCACCCTCGATAAAACACAGAGTTACACAATTATCCTCTTGTTTTTACAAAAGAGCGATTAGTGACTGGATTCTTTGGGATGTTAAACTCACTACAGGAAGATCATCGACTCGATGGCCAGAGTTCTTTACGAAAATCCTAGAAGAAAGATTTGATGTTCGGCGAGTCCCTAGAGCGAGCAGAACCCACTGGGCAACTCTTGCACGGAACACGGAAAAATGGAAGATTCACTGGCGCCCTCTCGAGTCACTCGATGATCAACGGGACTAAAGGTGATACAGGTTTTTACAAAAAAAAAGGCCCCGCGCCCATATATGATGCCGTGTAACCTATGAATCCATGCAGGCATTCAGAAGAAAAGCAAAAGCTGTGATACCAATGAATTAACGAACTCAATGCTTCGAATACCTTTATATTCAGCAGCGGCTGTGGTTTCTGATTTGAGACATGCTCCTGTGAAAACACCATGAAGCCATGACCTCGTCTCGAAAACCAGTGGAACGCCGACTGGTCGACGGCCTCCGAATATAATTGCCTACAAAAGGTAAACACATAGAATGTCGCCGAGGTAAACACTGGCTTAGTTCAGAAAAGACTTAGGCTTCTACGAATAAAATTCTGAACTATGTCATAAAACTAAACCAGGCAGGACCACTGCTCGCATAAAATTTGCCTATTTCTCTGAAGGTAGTAGAAAATATATAAAATGAAGATGAAAGTTCGATGTTTTTCTTCAATAAGCAGACACGAGGCTGTTATTATACAATTTATTAGGATACAATAGCTGACGTTTCGGCGGTTTCGCCTTCTTCAGAGTCTGGAAAGGTCAAATTGAGATGTGATCTACTCAGCCAAACATTTTCATAACCCTAGCAGATAAAACTTAACAAATAAATTTGTATTCGCATAAGAAACAGCATTATTTAAACACCTACCGCCTATTTGTTGTAAGCATTTAAGTTAGTTGGTGGATAGCAGCAGCCGCACAGAGTAATACATGGGCGATAACTGTGTCTGTGCCAGGTCACTGGATTAGCCCGAGGTATGGCGCTAGGTCACGCGTGATGACAAGACACTTCTCCTTGGGGTTCATTTTTGAATTTTTGGAATTGATCCAAAACGCTTCAAGAGTTTTACGCGCTCATGTTTTCGATTCGTGCGTGAGGATAGTGACTCCTACTTCAAGATCTTCGTTGTGTTCCTGCATCCTATGAGCCCTTAGTGGAGTGTTTGGTTTTAATTTAAACTTACCGACTAGGTGTTCTTTTATACGGACGCAGAGCGGTCTACCCGTTTCGCCAACGTATTCGTCCCCGAACGTTTTACAAGAGATCAGATAGACTGTACCCGAACTCATGCAATCACCGTCTCTACCGTTAGGGCAAATAATGCGGTTTTTCGTTGTACACAGACGGCCATTTAGGCGCTCGAAAACTAGCTGGCGTCTTAGAGTATCCGATGGTATTTCTATCACTCTTACGGAATTCTCTAGACCGGCTCTTATTAAGCAACGTTTTATAGCTGCACTTATTTCGTTTGAAATAAAGCGCAAGAGGAACGGAGCCTTGTTTTCGCTAGAATTATCGCTCTGGGGGGTGGGTTTTCCTCTATGCCTATGCCGAGAAGCTACAGTTTCGTAGCCATTTGAAATGGCTATTTAGCTATCTCCACGCACGGATCAAAAACAGGGCGTAAAACTCTTGAAGGATTTTGGACCAATTCCAAAAATTCAAAAATGAACTGCAAGGAGAAGTGTCTTGTCATCACGCGTGACCTGGCGCCATACCTCAGGCTGATCCAATGATCTGACATGGACCCAGTTATCGACCATGTATTACTCTGTGCGGGTGCTATCCACCAACCAACTTAAATGTTTACAACAAATAAACGGTAGGTGTTTAGATAAAACTGTTTCTTATGCGAATACAAATTTATTTGTTAAGTTTTATCTACTGGGGTTATGAAAGTGTTCTGCTAAGTAGATCGCATTTCAATTTGACCTTTCCAGGCTGTGAAGAAGGCGAAACCGCCGAAATGTCAGCTATTGTGTCCTAATAAATCCTATAATAACAATCTCAAAAACGAATACCTGAGTGATTTTCATTAATAAAAAAAAAGAATCAAAAAAATAGCTATAGACTTACATCAATCGGGACTCCCTTAGGACTTTCCCAATCTGGATGGATTATAGGACACTGAGATGCAGGTGCCGCAAATCGCGAGTTCGGATGAGCACATGGTCCAGGATCGCCGATTTTCCACTTCTCGCCTAGCCAATTGATCATTTCCACATTCTGAAGAAAAAAAAATAATACGAGGAGATAACAGATGACCATAGATTGCATGAAACGGTGGTCTTTTCGTGTAGAAACATCACAGCTAGCGTCCCTCTTCCTCAAATAGACCGGGAAACGGAAACGGAAACGGATTCGAAATACATCATAATTTGTTTCAGTAGAGGTTTCAGCACGAAACAAATTCGGCAAAAAATGACAAGGGACAAAATTTAGCCTGATAATTGTATCCTTTTGTAGAAAAGGGTTTCTTCAATATTAACGCTTCTGCAAACATGTTTAGTTCTATGGGAGTGTCGAGAGGAACTTCGAGTCATATATGAGTCGCATGGTCAGTTGTCTCCGCCTACGTACGAATCACGGATAACTCATGTGATCACAAATATGTCTTTTTTGTTATTTTCCTCCTTATCTCAAACTTTACAACCATTTAATTGTTCACGTCATAAAATAAACCTTGTCCTTGATCTCATCTTCAAGTCCTTCCCAGAAATATTCACCATTCACCGTTTCACCGACGTTAGTGAATATCGAATTCTTCTGAAAGGTAGCGACAGCCATCGGATTTGTTTTATTCGAAGTGCCTGAAGAGCAGAACAGTAGAAAACGTCAAAAATTTAGCCTTAAGACAAAAGCTTTCTGTAAAAAGAAACACCTGGTGCAACTCCGAAAAAGCCTGCCTCAGGGTTGATACCGTACAAGCGACCGTCATCACCAAATTTCATCCATGCAATGTCGTCACCTGAAAATGACGCGAAAATTAAGGAATGATGTGAGGTCGTACCTACAGCAATTTGGTACATTATGAATTTTCACGAGTCTAACAAAGCTTTCACCATCATTTGTAAGCTCCTTCACAGTAGTACAGCAGTATTTCCGCATGGAACACATAAAAACTGAGTGAAAATTAGAAAATGACCACTTGCCGACACATCGAACCTTCCAACCAGGTACACTCGGCTCCATCATGGCCAAGTTCGTCTTTCCACATGCTGACGGAAAAGCGGCCGCTATGAAATGCTCCTTGAACACGTGAAAATTTTAGAAATCCTATCGTTTTTCTCGATTTAAAGGTGAAAAATGGTGACTGGAGGAGACAAATAAAGGAATAGAAAACGCATGAATTCACAAGGTATAAAAGCCCGAACCTTCCCATTAGGTCTGGTCACACCCATAATCAGCATATGCTCGGCCATCCAGCCTTCATCTTTGGCGATATTCGAGGCGATGCGAAGAGCGAAGCATTTCTTGCCTGAACAGCATTGATTGTTTCACTTGCAACACGCTACAGAATGAAGCCAGCTCAGTTCTACACTTTGTCGAGACTTGTAAGTAATATGGAAAATGTTTTAGAACATATAAAAAATAGACAGCAAGGGAGGTAAAGTTATTTACAGAATTCACCACATCATTTCCGACCGCCTGCCCCGCTGAGCCTGTGAGGATTACGTGTGTGTCAAACTGCATCATTTTACTAGCAGTCTTCCAAACTAGAGTGTTCATCATTCCTATCTAAAATTCTAGATAGACGAAAACTTATGGCAGCAGAGCCTTATGTGTGGCCAACTTTCGCAAAAACCAATAAAAAATGCCTTGCGTTGCTCCTCGTAATTCCCGAGCAAGAAGGTACCACTGAACAGCTATGGTCCGCGAATGGGACGCCAGAGCTTTCCGATGCCTGAGTAACTCGAGGACTAACAGGATCAGAGGTGATATAGATGATCTGTACAAGGATAAGAGCACTAAAATAAATATACGATATATTCTAAACGTGTTAGAGTACATGTCGCTTTACTTAGGTGTGTGTGTTGCTTAAGTGGTCGAAGCTACTTTGCTGTAATACACAAGTATGACTTTATCCATTAAAAAACCCGATTTTTTAAAGTCATATAATGATTAATATGGAGAGGTGAGTGGAAGAACAATGGATAGAGATGCCCGGCAAAAAACACGAGTTCCATCTTCCGTCCAGATCAAATCAAACCACTACATCCTTTCGGCTTTAGCAAACTGGTAGCAAACTTGTCTATGAGAGATAAAAACACGACTAACTAGATAAGTCGATATATCATTCAATCAATGTATGGCTGACAATCGCGTTATCCTTTTACGCTACTAATAAAAGACTTTTGCTACGGAAGAACAGGCTCCAACTGCATGAAACTGGAGCCCTGAAGGCCACTAATCCTTGAAGGCTGTTTCGGCCTCAGCTTAGTTTCTGTGCAATTCTCACAGAGGAACTTGTCGAGATTCTTGAAAAGTGCAAATGGGAAGGCGAGAGGTCCTGCAAGTTTGGTGGATAAAGGAGTTGTGCATGTTTTCGCTTCCATCAAAGCCTTCAGATGATCGTCGTTCAGTAGCAAAAAGACCTTCGCGACCTGCTTAATCCTCAACGACGGTTCGCCACGACGAAATTTTTAAAACCAATTATGCAATTGTGGCATTCCTTAACCCTTGCTTGGTCCCATACCTCACTGGTGGCTCGGGGTGTCTTCGCCATTCCAAAAAAATTTTGTTAAAACACATAAGAAAAATAAAATTACAAGTCGTTCATTAATTTCAGAACGACCTAATACTGTGCGTAGAGTGTAGCTTTTTACGAACTACCACAGGCAAAACATCCGTGCTGAATAATGCACCAACCATATACAAAAAGCGGGGCAAATAAACTCCATGGCAAAGAAAAGGTCGCCAACAAAACATATACAACCTACAAGAGACACTCCACCGACTCATGTATGCATTGCTATCAATGCAAGAAGATCACTTACATATTAACAAATCATATAAATAACTCAAATCAAGTAGCACACTATAGATAACATAAACAACTCTTACCAAGCAATGAGTTTCCGCCATAACCGGACCCGAATGACCAAATTTCCCTTTCGGCTGGTCGATGGGCGATCAGTACACGCTCTGGATTACATGGCCAATGATTTACGACGCGCTCTAAAATCCACTGGTTGATCGATAGACGTAAACATCAGCTATTTTTAACTTTTTACTTACTGCCTACTACAAATTTCCACGGCAGGGTATTATGTGAAATACAACCATGAGAATGCTGTGATATTTGCAAAACTTCGAACCGCAGCTGTCTGCGGTGGAGATCGAACACACTATTACCCCTTCGGAGGGCTAACACGTTCACAACCACACTATGCGGGTCCTTGGTTTCGCCTTTCTCTCAGATATTTTTTTTCTCATAGCTGGGTATTATGTGAAAGATAACCGCGATGATGCTGAGATATTTGCAAAAGTTCGAACCGGGGGTTGGAGCGATGGAGATCAAACACGTTGCTACCCTTTCCTGAGGCACTGGTAGGCGGGAAACCAGCTCAGAGAGAGGTGTGATGAAGGAGCCACATGGTGTGGTGGTGAAAGCGTTAGACACCGGAAAGAGTAATAGCGAGTTCGATTACCACCGCAGACACCTGCGGTCCGTAGTTTTGCAAATCTCTCAGCAACAGCATGATTTTATCGGTTACTTGTTGTCGAACAATGCATAAATGTGTATTATTTCTTGATAAGCTTGCACGAGGTTGATAAATATATTTATTTTCGGAGCCGAAAATAAATATATTTATCAACCTCGTGCAAGCTTATCAAGAAATAATACATATTGATTAGTCACACCGAGGTTTAGGGAAGGTCGGTTTCGAAATATTACAATGCATAAATGTATTAAGATTGACCCCTATACACACACAGACACGAGAGATTTCCCTAGTTATTCCTTTGAAAGTTTTTCAAAATGGTTTTTAGTTCATTTCTGCAAGAAAAGATTAATGCTTATGAATAAACATGGCGTTTTAAAACTCAAAAACAAAAATAAATAAATCGAAAGAACATTAAAAATGAGGAAAACTCGTCTAGACTCTTCTCGTGACCATACTGACAACGTTCTGCATTCGTTTCTTTCATAAGCTTGTACCTTTAATATGGGACGAATGCTTTGCTTGAGGATGTCTTTACTTCAGAATTCTGTGTCTTGAAGAAAAAAACCATTCCTATCGTCTCATCATTAGACCCCATCAATTGACTATTTATGAGAACAGATGATAAACACCTAACCAATGAAACAGTACGGATGACTGGTGATGATGCAATGAATGGGGAATGGCTATGAATGGTGATGACCTAATGAATGAAATACTCAGGATGAATGATGATCGCCTAAATCAGGGAACTGAAAGAGAGAAGAGTTAGAACGAACAGTAACAAAATGTTGACGATGACTTACGTTTAACCGGTCTTGGGAGTCCAACAGAGTGAATACATCTAACGAAGTCATTGTCGCCCAACGCATCCCAGACTTCGTGGGAGACGCGAGTCATGATGCGCATCGACAGCACCACGTAGTTCGAGTCGGTCAACTAAACAACACAATTCTTCGCACAATTCTTTATATTTTTGTTTAGAAAACACAAGGTGTTATTGCTAGCCGATGTTTCGGCGGATCTCACCCTTCTCAGAGCCTGGAAAGGTCAACTTGATCGCAATCTAGCTATAGTTATAACCTGGCTACCTACCAACCTAGTAAATCTGCTTATGGAGGTGTTTGGCTGGGTAGTTATAACCTCGTTACCTATCAACCTAATCAATCTGGTCATGGAGGTGTTTGGCTGGGTAAATTGCGGTCAACTTGACCTTTCCAGGTTCTGAGAAAGGCGAAATCCACCGAAAAGTCAACTTGCGAGCAAATAAAGAGAAAAAAAAAATAACACCTCGTGTTGGCTAAACAAAAATATAAAGAGTTATTCGGTCATTGTCGAGGTTAATAAAAAGTCGGTCATGGGAATTACTATTCCTCGCATTTAGGATATAAAATCGTTTAGACATTTCACATTTGTTTTCAAACGTAGTAACAAAATTATTAACCATAGCATTTAATTCATATTAATCGACAATTATAGGAAGTCTCGGTATAGAAGCTGTGGTTATTCACTTTCCAGACGTACCCAATCATCAATGGCTGATCGCCTTATCGGTGAATGGAATGTATTCCTGGTGAGTAAGTGAATGTGATGCACAGCGGGTACTTCATTCTCTTAAAACTTTCAAATCCATGAAAACCAGGTAAGAGGAAATCAATACCAATAATCATTGCTGTACAAGAAGCAACCGAAATGTGAAAGTAAAAATTGCCCATTCGTTCCACAAAGGCTGGCAAACGCCTGTGGTCGGAAAGCCTTCGAACGGCTCACTCAAGATTCCAGGAAGGGAAATCGTGCTCGATCAAAAATTACCAATAAGGTGGGAATTGTGCTTATATTCTAATGCTGCTTCATAAAACGAGTCGTTCAAGTAATTATTGGCAAAAGTCATCTACAATCTACTAACAATCATTGCCAACCTGGACTCCAATTTTAGACAGCGGCCCACCGATAGGTCCCATTGAGAATGGAATGACGTACATGATACGACCTAAAAAGAATACCTATGAGAACGAAACAGTTCTGGGCCATTACCATTTCCTATACGATGTCAACTTTTATGCTCTTCTACGCTTCTAGATTAGTTTAGTTCACTGAAAAATCACAAAATCTCAGTAATTTTGTGCTGATAGGGATCCATCACATCGATAAAATCCACTGAAAATCTAACACTTATGGTACATTTAACCCACTATTTGAAAAAGAAAGTGGCTTACTCACCAGCCATGCAACCAGGAAATCGGCTATCAAGTTCGACGCCGAGATCTCCAGGTGACATCCAATGACCCATAATCGGTTCCACTCCCGGAGGTGTGTGGGTTACTGTCTGATACTTGTCAGGTGTCACCATCCATGTTTTCGACTCAACACGAGCCACGTCCTGTAGACGCTAGTAAATTGCTGGTATTCATCAAATAGATCGGTGGAAATGACTCACTTTTGGATCTGTACGACAAATGTAGTTGTTCTCGTACGCCTTCAACGGTGACAGCATGCCACGTTCAATCAGTTTGTCGATAATCTCGTCAGCTTCATGTTGACTACCGTCGCAGATATATATTCCTGTAAATAAACAATAACCTTCCCACAGTCCCATGTAAGCAAGCGTACGATCGGTCCGGAACCGATGAATTTCTCATTAAAAGTCAAGCGACTTCTCCGTCAAACCACCATGCAGGAAGTTCGACTCCTCAGCCACTTACCGCGTGGTCGCATCAACTCGGCCTTCTCGGCAACAAAGCGTTGTACTTTTGGAGGAAGCAAATGGAAATCGCCCTAAATCACTTGAATATGCATTTTAATTTTTATTTTTCCCATGAACTTGTTTCAGTTTGAGCGTACTAGCCATTTCTACTTTACATAAATTCGTTTCATTTCTGTTTATTACTAAAACAAGATTTTCTTCTATCGCAACTCCAGAACTTCTTGCTGGAACTTGACCCGAAATAGTATAACTCATCATAGTAGTGGCTACCAATAATGAACAAACGTGGGTATGGAACCCTCCGACAATTATTTACTTTCAAAAAACAGTACAACTGGTTTCAGATCTAGAAATATTATACGGTAGCGACTTTCTGCAAACTACAACCAGGAACTTCAACTCGATTTTGACGTCTGCAAAGAAAAAAAACCGCTGCTTAGTTACCGTAACACAAGTATTGATTGATGAATACACGAGTTTCGATCTTTTCGATTACATCACGGTTTCCTTGCTCGCGGGTTCTCTTGACCGTGAGCACTTATGAAGACATTCGAAGTGAATACAGTTGTAATAGCATACAAAATTGAAGAGCATCAGTAAAACATCGGAGTTCAAAGGAAAATAAATCACCAACAAGAAGACGCACGGGCACAGTTTGACCTCTGACCTCAGAGCAATCAAATCCAAAGACAACATGGATCAACTGGGAATACAGTAGGTTTCAGCTCTGACTTAACAACGTGACAGAAATACGATGCAGTAGTTCTACAAACTTCATTCGTTAAAGGAAAAAAGGTGTATGCTGCTTTTTCCCTACATTGTCTGATCATCAGAGACTGCACTGAACCAATCAAGGAGACCTCATAAACAAATCCGTTACTACTGTTTATGACCTTATTCTAATCTAATTTTCACGATTCTCATACTTCCATCACCTCCAAAATATCAACAGCTCCTGTTCAACGGATATCTTACGTCCTGTATATCTACAACACCATCACCAGAAACCAGTCGAACTGGTTCAAGCTAAATTAAAACACCAACGTTGTCACAACATATAGTGTTGCTAAGTCGTCATCTCCGACGAATTACGTAACTCCCCTCTAATCGAACAATGGTCAGTCACAGAGACAAAGTGGCTTCATTGTGTGACGATATACCATTGAAGACCCTCTAACATGACCAAAAAGAATGAAGTATACAGCGTCGCTAACTTCTCTTATTGATGTTCCATCACCTCCAAAACATCAACATTTGTGTATGTGCCATGCATTCAACTCCATTCGTAACGTCCTAAACGTGGACTCTACCTCGTCTACACAACGACTCCAAAAGGCCATCCAACTTTCTTTTATACGCGCAGACCACTCTAATACGAATTCGCTGACACCAGAAGTTTATCCCGTGGCACGGGATCGAACCAAAGACCGTGTGTTTATTGCAAGATGCCTTTATCCACTGCGCAGTAAGGACTCATACATCAGTAAGAACCACTGGTTTAGATCGCTATGGAATTATTTTGTGATGTTTGCTCCTCTTTTATTGGTTGACTTCAAATTTAAAAAAGGCTGCCAAGTGAGTCACCGAAGCTTTGTGGAAATATGAATAGATAGAGGATTAAATAAACTTAAGTACCTATAACGTTTGTGCAATAAATTTTAATAAGTAGTACAAATCACGTTCCTTGTTTCCGCAGTCTATAATGGGAAATCGCAATGAGCAAGTGGAAGGAGTTTTTCTCTCCAGCTTTATTGTAGGTTTCCATTCATATAGTCCCACTCGTAACAGCGCAGCTCTGAGGAAGGCGAAATCGCCGCAACGTCGGCCATCGACCAACAGCATCCACAACAACAGCAACAGCAGCAACAACAACAGCGACAACGAAGATCTATACCAATCTCGAATCGGCTCAACAAGATCAGTTTATAAGGTTTTCATACATTTGAAACGACGATCTAATCTCTCGCACTAATGAAAATCGATGTTATTAAAAAAAAGCAGGAAGAAAACTGATTCAAAGTGTAGATGACTCAGATTCAAGTTTACCCTTAGGAAAACACCTCCCGGATCATTATCCTCTTAGAGAATAGTTTAGGTTGAAAAGAAAACGTCTAGTGCAAAACTGCCTGCTTGTCGCCGTCACCACCGCTTGTTTCGTGGAAAAGAAAAAGTTACAGAGAAAAAACAAAACCATTCAACCCTACTAAGTCCAACCATCGAAGATTGATTGAAGTAGGTAGCCAAAATCACTGCAGCCTTTGAAATTTTTAGTGCTCCCTTTTTTGGTCTTGAAACTTACTCGTTTTTTCACTACCGATGACTACACGAATGAACAACGGACAAAATCAACTTCTTCGAAAAGATATCAAGGATTTAGTAAATACTAAAAAGTAGTGAAGACCACATATCTTCACGAAAGAACCTCTTCTGAAAAATATGGTGGAACTCAGTGAAGGAAATTATTCACTGTGTTACCCTACAGGAACAGCAGCTAATACTCTTAAGTCCAGTTACAATCGTTCCCACAACTAACAGTTGTAGCGTTATTCTCGCAGTTTTGAAAATCAATCTATAATCGATGACCATCAGTAGTTTGTGAACGGGGATTCTTTGCCGATATTCCTCTCACTATGTCCGTTTCGTAACTCGAAGTGTCGTGTAGACACTGACAACTGACGCTCAACTTATTAAACTATGCCTAGACACTCCCGGTAAACATCTAACATGCCGTTTGAAACAAATAGCACAATGGGCGGAACTACAAGCGTTCTAGTTCGATCATCGAATTTAAGATCTGCGTCTGAACAACTTTGTGAAAATCAATGACGACATCTGATGACAAGCTACTACTGGCACCTGCCTCAGTTCTTTTAAGTACTATTTCCGTGAGAGTAAACATTCTTCTCAACAAAACTCGGTCTGTTCAACCATTTTGTTGTTCGAATGGTACTAATCCCAAGGAAAAAAGTGGGGAAAAATACGCCATGTACGCCACAGAAAACCAAAATTCATTGTGGTAGGATAGGAAAACTTGTAGCATACACGCTATGGTCAACAGGTTCGAATTTCTTTTTCAGCTAATGAAATTCATTAGAGCTCAGTTGTTCTTATTTGGAAATGAGAAGCGTAATAGTTTTCGGCCACCTACGCATCGCAAACAATGCGCACGACCGAGAATGCAGCAAAAAAATGCAGAACTGGTTGAATAGCCGCCCAGCGATGACCTTGTCTCGATTATACTATAACTTTACATCGATGGAAACAAAGTTTCTTGAAGTCATAATAGATGAGTACTGTTCATTCTTTGATTAAGCCTATAGAGTCCATATTATTATGTCGTCTCTTTTTCGTATTCTCAACAAAGTAAAATGGTTGCAAACAAAAAGAAAAGAGAAATATTTCGAAGCCGACTTTCTCTAAACCTCGGTGTGACTAATCAATATGTATTCTTTCTTGATAAGCTTGCACGAGCTTGATAAATATATTTATTTTCGGCTAGCCGAAAATAAATATATTTATCAAGCTCGTGCAAGCTTATCAAGAATACATAGAAAAGAGAAAAGTGAGAAAACACGATAAAGGGAAAAACCTAATTCCAAACTGAATGTTGCCGATGATCGCATTGTACAGTATCCCGCAGATGTTATCCATCAAAGAACAGTACAGTGAACAGGACTGTGGCAACAGTAAAGGAGAATAAAGAAACTTATAAAGAATGAGAAAAGTTCCGACAATTTTTTATACGAATAGTACGCATAATTTTAGTAAAATAGCCCAGGAAAGGTAAAGAAGAAACAAACTAAGAAAAAATTTGAAGCTTGTCCTTTAAGGCGACGAAGGCGAACAATGGGCTGTAGAGGAAACTATGTAGAGTTAGAAATATATTTAAATCGCCTCAAATCAATGGAACTCGTACAAGACCAGTAATTTTTCATGACAGTGCGGACCACAGCCAGCCAATGGCTTGCGAAAAAAATCGAACCGATCCTAAGAAAATATAAGAAAGAAACGCTAATCAATAATCAGATTTTCAACTTGGTAGCCTCATTTTCTTTTCCACTCATTTTTGTTATTCTGCTCATTTTCTCGTTTACTCTTTAAAGAAATACAAGAATCAATAAGATCAGAAACGAAACTTATGTATCGGCAGATGGCCGAGACGCTTCATGACCACTTCATTGACGACGTAGAACGCATCGTCAGAAATCTGACGTAATGATGCGTTAGCGCCATCGGTATCCTGTAAGAGTTCAGATTAGTGCCAGACAAGAACAAAAAAATTCTGGTCCACTGAAAAACCGAATTTTGCCCATGAACTCTCGAAATTATGTCGAGTTAAGTTATATACGACTGTTGACGTTGGCATCGCCTTTGATAACAGAACTGTTCTCTGTAGAAAATCTACAAGTTCACAGAAAACGCTCCGATTTCGTCGTCGTCACAGCTTTATGTTGCTGCAGAAAACTGCAAAGGTAGGCGCTCTTCCACAAATTTATCGTCTTAGACATCCCTTCCGCTTCGTTGGTATAAAGGAACCCGTGGTCGCGGCAAAGGTGGTACCGATGAAGACACCAATACTACCGATTCCTCTGCTATGGCACGCCCAACGAATAGGTCTTTTCAGGAAGACGGAGACTTTTCAGGACTATATTAAAACGTTTAATGACTATTAAGAGTGCGTGTAGCGGATTGGTTAAAGGCGCCCTGCAATACACATATGTTCGATCCTGCGCCCCAGCCTCACCAAGCCCTCCATCCATCCGGAGTCGGCAAATTAGTACAAAACTTGTCTGGGAGGATAGCACAACTGACTCGATGCATCGCTAGGCCACCACGAATCATTGTATAGGCCAAATGTGCGTTCAATAATCTCTAGCGATACTTAATGAAGTCGAATGCGTGGCGCAATCCCTCAGAGATTGATTAAGAACGAGAACTTTATATATTATCGTTTTAATGAATGGCCTTCTCGCATTGGTTATTTCCCATGATGTGGTCTGTAATCTTCTTAGCTCATGTTATTACGCTTTTCAATGACGAGCTTATATGCTTATATGCGTGTGCTATAATTAAATATAGTCAATATAGTCAGCATAACCCTAGCAGATCTAGGCACCCGAAATGGCCCTGATGTTTTAGTAAACTCTCTACATTCGCCCTATTTAAAACCGCTGTATCAGAACTTTTTCGTAGCCAGACTATGCTGTTTAAGCTTCTTTGGAGTACTCCCAGAGTGTACTCGCTGGAGGCGACCAAATTCCAGATCATCTGCACTCCCTCCGGCACGAGCAATATAGCCCTGTGGCCTCGCAGAACTCGTGGCCAAATCACAATACTTATAAAAGAGATTTCTTCTCATTATAGCCTCGTTCTGCTACCATTTTGATGAACAGTCCTTCTAAAACCGATTTAAGACTTTTTTCTTATCCACATCCGACACTACCTTCGCTATGTTAAAAACTCTGAGGTGAGCTTCCGTCGTTACACAATGGTTGAGCGTAGAATGAGATTCTCTCTCCATTTCTTATACGAAGTTACACACACGACAAACGATGAAGTGAAAACGAGTTTTGCCAATAACTGCAACGAAGAAAGTTCAACAACGTCACTGATGACAAAAATATAAGCGATTTCCACAACATTCTGAACCCTCCGAGATGTGTCATACACCGAAGAAACTGATTTCTGTGAAATTCCGCAAGTATTTCACTTACTGTTTTAGATGGAAGAGATAAATTCTGTACCTGTACCCTTCTTTTATCAGTTGACTCACTACTTTTGAAAAGCTGTGTCTCATACTCAAATTATGTTTGCAACTAGAACTTAGTTATACACCGCAACCTAGCTGTTGGCCCGAGTCTTTGTATAGGCAGGGTCTTTCGAAAAAGCAAGACAATCCCATGGGAAAACATGAAAGTAGCCAGAAAATCAAAGATAAAAAATCTTTGGTAGGCTATACGAAAGCTAAACGGATCTTACCATGCTTCAACAAAAACCCAAGAACTTTTATCTACTACCCGAACGGAATACATAACTACGCTTCTTCGCATTTTTTCGTTGTTAATAGCCGATCCAACGCGGTTTTTTCCACTACTTATACATCCGTCGTTTATTTGTATCGCGAGGTTGTCAAACAGCATACATTTACTTCCATAGAAAAACACAATACAATACAACAGTAGCTGATGTTTCGGAAAGTATCGCCTTCTTCAGATCTGCTTTTTAGGTGACTTCCAATGAGGATGAGTCATCAGCCATATGCGACTATAACCAGCTGTTCTAATCTTCCTCATTGGAAGTCACTTAAAAAGCAACTCTGAAGAAGGTGATACTGCTGAAACCTCAGCTACTGTTGTACTGTATTGTGTTTTTCTATGGAAGTAAATGTATGCTATTTAGCAACCTCGCGATTGTTGAACAAGAAAACGACGGATTCATATTGCAATGCCGAGGTTAATAGAAAGTCAATCCTGGGAACTACTACTTATACAGTTGTGCCGATAGAGATTCGGTCTGTTACAGTGTCCTAGGTCGCTAAGTCGACTTATCGCAGGAATAATTATTGCCATCCTGGTCGAAAGTCAATAAACAACCGTAAGAAAAAAAAACTCATAAATCCGGACAAGGGTTGGTTACTGCTTGTCATAACCACCTGAGAACTCGCTACCTCGGTTCTCCAAATATTCCAGAGGAAAGCACATTCAACCAGCGCTCAATCAGAGTTCAACATATTAGTGAGAACAGAAGACAGCAGATGGCCAAGCCCACGCCTAACGCAGTTCCAACAACCCCCATAGCTGGTGGTTACAATCCTTGAAGGTTCAGATGGAAGGAGTGCTGGCGCAACACTGTCATGTGGCAGGTCATCTAGGAGATTATCTAAATAGATAACTAAAAACTTTCACAGCCCAACCAATTCATCATTCTCGTACATGGCGATGACGGGTCATAGATTTTATGTCCTTTACCCTTTTATAATGAATAGACAGATAAGAAGAATAGGAAGATAAATCCTAGATAAAAGGCCAAACGCTTTACCAAGCCGATTATTGGAACACTTCAAGTAGGAACCCAGTTCCTTCGGACAAAGGGAGAAATCTTAAATGGGGAGCATAAACATCCTGAAAATATTGACAACGGGAATATTAACGATGAGGTAACCGATCCGACCCAGTTATCGCTATTCAAAATAACAACAACATTATCGATTCATCTGTACCATGGAGGAGCTATCGATCGCCCGCAACTAGCAGCTCATAAAGAGTTTGCCGATATGGTCTTTGATTCTTTAAAATCGAACTGCTCGACTGATCAAAGGCCACATGAAAAAGAAGACAAACAATTGTGTTGAATAAGTCTTCAATTCAATCTTTAGGGGTATTAAAGCAAGGAACGTTCCTTCGCTTTGTTTTCCGGTTCTCATCGTATAAACAGACAACTTTATCATACCGACGCTTTGTTAAGGGCTTAATCGAACCTCTGATGAGAAATCGATTAAGAGATCCATTATTGTTAAAATCTAGTGGTGGCTATAAAGTAGCGCTTAACTTCCAGACGTTCATAGAAAAATCATAGCCACATCTCATTACTGACAGAAAGCGCAAATCTCTCGACACAAGAAGGGTTTGGGACAAAATCATTCCAGATCAAAAATGACGGCACTATTGAGTACTCTGTGATCAAGGGAAGCAAGAACTGTAATAGTAGTCCATATTTCCTTCTAACCCTGGGATATTTTCCAGTACTTGGACTATTAAACCCTGAGTTGTACTAAAGATAAGCCTATATGAAGGACAAGCACAAGACGAAGACCTGAGCCTTCAAGTATTCACATAGCTTCCAAAAAAAGCGGACGAAGAAACTACTTATAGTACAGAACTGGAATCTGATGCCATTCAAACACTCAAATTATGTGCTATTAAGGTGTTTAGGTGGGATATTTGAGAATACAAGACATAAACATGACAAAAACAACTAGGAGATGCTTGGCGGCCATATTGATTGAAAAAATGAAAGCCAAATCTCAAGGAAAGAATCTAATGAGATCATGAACGACCTTGAAGATGTACGAATAGGTAAGTATGGACAGATTCTCCCACCTTAAAGGACGGAAGACCACTGACGTCGACGGACATCACTGCAACGGTCGCAATGATGATGTCGTGAAAAACAGATTCGCCCGCCCTCTGTCTCTGCCGTCCTGCCTCCACCGCCCACACCCAGCCATTTAGCGCCCTCCCACAGCACACCTTGCACCTCGCCCTCATATGGATTTGATCTACTAAGTAGATCATAGTTTGATCGTCATCGATTGTAACGGACGACTTTTCCAGACATTTACCGAAATTTTTTTCCCTATGGACCTCGTTTTAGCTTAACAATCGAGGAAGATATTTCCCTAATCTCCGATCCAAAGGCCTTTATCAACGCAATCTTCCTGATTCATTCTTCTGATTGTATCTTTGAAAAAAAAGACGTTAGCTGGTTTGGTCGATCTTCCTGATCCACCTGTTATTAGGTTTTTCGGAAATGAATGTCGGATTTGAACCTGTATTTCTAAGGTGGTATAACTCAGCTCAGAACAAATATTATTTGTCTAAGTAAGAATTTTTAGAATTGATATATTTTTGGGAATAAAAAACAAGTTCATTACAGGAGTTGTGAGAAATTCTTACTTGTGGAAGCAATGAAATTCGTTGTATATCGGCTTGGTTTATGAAAGCATTTATAGCACAACAGGCTGTTGAGATGCATAGAAAGCTGATAGCAGCTAGGCGAATTATCTGGCGAGTATGGTATTTGAAACAGTGTTTTGTAGCCCAGCTCGTTCAACTTCTGCAGTGTCAAGAGTTCGAATCGTCGCCGCACGTTGTTGTTGACAAGGTTTGGTCCTCTTCTGTTGACCTTCCTTTCTTCGCGATGCATCCACCGAAGTTTCTGGTGCACTCTCTGGTAATTACATGATCAAGAGCTTCTCAAAACACTCACCGCTTTTAACGTTATTTTACTGAGGAAGATTGCAGATCGTTATACCCTTCTAGGCTCTGAAGAAGGCGATACTGTCAAAATGTCAGCGTCGTTGTGTTGTATGTGTTTTGGTAAGGAAGTGAACGTGTGCTGAATAAGAACCTCGCGGTTGCTGGAAAAGAAAACGAAAGAAACAGTTTTTTCTTTTTTCTTCTTGAAAAATTTGGTTTTCCTGTTAGTGTTTGATTCATGTAACCATTCAAAAGAAAATATATACAATCGTTGATGATGAATTCATGGTAATTCCTCCAGATTAGAACAGATTTCATCAAAGGGAGAAAGATTTGTGAAGGACGAGTTGGAGATGACGCTTTCACTTTTTCGTTCCGGTTCGTGGAA